AATTATGTGAGTACAAAAGAGATCATACAGCTTGCACTCAAAAGGAATTGCAGTTATGGCTTGAAGAACAGTATCATCTAAAAATTAGTCAAGGTATAATCTCAAACACACTCAAACGATCAGCTGAGTATCTTTCGAGCAACTTGGAAACAGGAAAAGATATCAAGCGGCACAAACCAGCAAAATTTCCAGCAGTGCCGGAGCTAGAAACAAAATTTACAGGGGTCAATTTTAATTTACAGTGTATTCTGAGCAAATTTTACGGGGTCATTTAGCTAAATTATCAATATTTTACTTATTTTTATTTTAAAAAATACAAACATATAAAAAAAAATTAATTCCACATGGGTCAAATGACCCACTTGGTAGCATGCTGCCTCCGCCACTGATTCCCAGAGATGGAGAAAGTTCTTTTTGAGTGGTTTCTCCAATATGAAGAGTGTGTGAACATGACTGGAGAGCTAATTTTGGAGAAAGCAAAAGATACAATGAAACTTGTATACCCTCAACAAGATTCTGAGCACTAATTCTCTCAAGGTTGGCTTGAAAAATTCAAATCACGACATGGTATCAAGTCTTTTCGTCGTTTTGGAGAGAGTGGTTCAGTTGATGTATAAGACATGGAACAGAAATTGGAAGCTATAAGGGAAAAAATAGATCAGTTTCCTATGAAAGATGTTTTTAATATGGATGAGACTGGTTTGTTTTACAGATTACAAGCTGATCATTCTCTTGCTACAAAACAACTTGAAGGAAAAAAGCAAGACAAAGAAACACTAACCGTTGTTATTTGTTGCAATGAAGATGGGTCTGAAAACATCCCTTTATGGATTATTGGAAAATATGCAAAGCCAAGATGTTTCAAGAATGTCAACATGGATAATTTGAATTGTCACTATCGTGCCAACAAAAGAGCTTGGATGACTAGTGTGATTTTTGAAGAATATATCCGATGGTTTGATAAGAGAATGCAAGGTAGAAAAATTTGTTCGTGGTTGATAATTGTCCAGCACATCCAAAAAATATTGAAGGATTACAGAGTGTTGAGCTGTTCTTCTTGCCACCCAATATGACATCAAAAATTCAACCTTGTGATGCTGGAATAATAAGAGCTTTCAAGATGCATTATCGCAGGAGATTTTACCGTGAGATTTTAGAAGGTTATGAGTTGGGACAATCTGATCCAGGTAAGATCAATGTTTTGGATGCTATAAATCTTGCTGTCTCGGCTTGGACAATTAATGTTCGTCCAGAGACAATAGCAAATTGTTTTCGACACTGAAAAATTCGTTCACGAGATGTTGTACCAGGGAATGTAGAAGATGAATCAAACGACATTCATGAACTTCAAGTTTCGATCAATAATATCGGTTATCGGAATAGAATGGATGTCAACAGCATACTCGACTACCCAGGTGAAAATGATACATGCTCAGAAGTTCAGAGTTTAGAAGAAATTGTGTCTACTGTCCTTAATGTTGATGAAGAAGTTGAAGACGAAGCTGTGGAACCTTTGAAAACAGTTTCACGTAAGGAAGCGATTCTGGCTTCAAAAACTCTTCACAATTTTTGGATGCAGATTGAGAAGCCAATACCAGGAGTTGTTGATGCAATCAGAAAAATTAGAGATGAACTGCAACGAGATTCCAACTTTCAGAAAAGACAAACAACAATAGAGTCATATTTTAGTAGATTGCCTTAGACATATTTGTCTTATTTTTATGATTATTAATTTATATTACCCGGAATGCTATTAAACCGCTTAAATCTAGAAAAACCCGCTTAAACCCGGTAAACCGGCAAAAATCCGATCCGGATGGGTTTATGATTTAGAAAAAAATTAATATAGTTTTATAATATTATTTATGAATATATATGATATTTACATATTTTTAAACCCGGCCAGGTTGTAACCTTTTGATTTTTACATTTAAATTAATATATTTACATAGGAGTTTTAAAAAAATTATTATCTTATTATTTTATTGAATTTGATGAATTTTTACATTGGCCCGACTCGGAACCAAAGAAATTTATTATTTTATAATAATTATTAATTTATCGAGTATTAATTTATAGAGTATTAATTTATTGAGGTTTTACTATAATTACTAATCTGCACTAAACTGGGAACATAAAGAGGAGGAAACAAGTGGGAGCGGAATATATCCAAGTATATCCCGTTTTCCTTGATTCGGAGCTTCTCCGATATTTACAGATTTGAAGTATCCATCATCTCCAATGATGTGAGCTGTTTGGTAGCGACGACAGGTCTTGGTCGTTTCATCATTTCTGTCTAGATCGAAAACCATAGCACCTTTCTTCTCCTCATCAATGAAGAAACTCCCAGCAAAAGGGTCAACGGGAAAACCAGTGAGCAGACTCATATCCACTTCCAAAAACTTGGTCCAAGACAACGCATTGGGATCAATATTATCGGTAACCCAAATCTCCATTACTTCACATGTCTCCCAACATTGATGTAACACAGCGAGCTTCTCATCTCTGACACAGAACAAAGTCACAGTCTCTTTATTGCCAGAGTGAAACGGCAGAGAAAGACGCGGTCCAAATCTCTCTGATGTGAAATCAAAGCAGAGTAAAAAGTCTTCAATCTCTGTTACTTCTCCTTCCACTATTATCTTCTCTTGAGCGAAAAAATAAGCATTTCCCTTCAAAGTCACGGTAAAGACGGTATCTTCTAGTTAGGAGTGAAATCAAGTACCTTCCATGCAATGTTTTAATAACCGACCCGGAAAGCGAACCGGAGTATCCTTCGGGTGACCGGGTTATCGGGTCATTCCAGGTTGCACCGGATCAACCACGGATAATTAGTTTTATATTTTTTATAAATATAAAAGTAAAAATAATAGTTTTTTTATAAATATAAAAGTAAAAATATCCATACTTAGTCAAAAAAAAATATATGATATCTAACAACCATAATAAACTGATTAAAAATTTTAAAATTAAATTTAATCAAACAAAACTAAAATAGTAAAAAATCACCAATAATAGTAAAAATTTTGATGGTTATCTTATTCTCCATCAAAATTCATCTCAGAACTCTTCAGGCGGTATATTATATAGGACAAAGAGAAATTAAAAAAAAAAAATTTATAGAAGAGACTAATTCTACAACATGTGCTCAAGACGGAGAACGCAGTTGTTCTTAGCTTTAACAAAAAGTTCTAAATAAAGATATTAAACAGTGTAAATCCTATATTTTAATGATTCAATCCAAAACCCATTCAAATTTTTTAATTATTTCGATTTTTACTTTGAACCGGAACTCAACCGGTTCATCTGAGTCACCGGATTGCGGGTGAATCGCGGTTTTTTCTGGATTTTCTCGATTCTAATGCTGGTGGATTTTAACAATAAACTGAACCGAAATAATGACCGGATCCCGGTTTAACCGGTCCAATTGGACGGGTCGGTCCCGGTATAAAAACATTGCTTCCATGGATCAGCGCTAAAACCATAAATCTCGTAGCCAAAAACGCGGTTGTTTACGCTTTGATAGAAATCGAAAACCCTCAAGATTTTGTGATTACGGTTCTTGTCGTACCCGAGAGCAAATCTGTCGAATCTGTGGAAATCGTTTCTGGGTTGGATCCACTTGGTTTGCCCCAGATATGGGTTCCAAACCAAGAGCCTCGAGCTGTCTTTGATAACGCATAACAACAAACCGTCGCAGTGAAAGGCTTTAGATATCTCGACTGGTTCAAGTAGACTTACTGGGTTTATAGATGGGTCGACGAATTCATCGCCGTCGCTGCGGATTCCTTGGAGATCGAATTTCAAGGAACAAACTTTAGAATCCATCACCCTGAGACCTAGAAACTGATTCCTTGCTGCATCTGCTGCTTTACCAAAGACCCGATTTTTGGATAGAGAGTTCCACTTTTTGCAAGTTGATCGAACTGATCACAGAGATGTTAGAACCCTAGAAAAGGATTTCCGATAACAAATCGTCGGTGAGATCGGACATCGTCGTCATTCTTCAAAGTTTTCAGAAAAACTAAGGCTGTCAGAAAAAAAAAAAAAAAAAACTCAGACGAATGAAGAAAACTACTACGGTTTGCTTAGTGGGCCAAAATGTGAAATGGGTTTTAAATGGGCCCGTTTTATATTGCATGGAAGTAAATTTTAGCTTTATTTCGATGTTTTGAGGCAAAAGCAAACCGAAATAATTATTAATTTTTTTAACCATCAATCGAACCGAACCAAGTTTAAGTTCGGGAAACGTTCCATGTCAAGGAGCGTTTAGTTCGTTGCAGATACCTCGGCTTTGTTTCCCTGAACGTTTCAAGGTCACAGCTTTTACCTTCTCTGCTTTGACCCGTTCCTCCAATGGACTTCTCTCTTGATTACTGTCACTCTCCTTGGCTGGATTTGGTTTTGCAGCAAATTGCGTTGTGTCTATCGAACTCACCGACGGATTCACAGAACTGTCTAATCCGATAGCTTTGAGGGCAGATAAAATCTTCCACTACTACATCGTCCACCGGCATTTAACAGAAGAGCTCACTGTTCGTGTCTGAGATTACAGGCACTATGTTTTGCTCTGTTACATTTTCATAACAGTGTCTACTTCACTGCTCGACAAAATGATTCCGTTTTCATAAGTTAACCCTCAAAACTTTGTACACAAAATACCCAAAGCTATTTGAAACAAAGGTATGATCATGATTCAGTTTTGAGATTACGATTAAGTTCCAAAGCCATCATGTAATCTAAGAGAGAACAAGACAAAAAACAATCTACTAACAGACATTCTCGCCTTTTGTTCTTCGAGAAACTTCTTGCAAATTCCAAGAAGCTGAAAATCTCTGCAAAATCCTATTATATGTCACATATAGCATCGAAACATCCGAAAAAAACACAAGTAAAGAGACACAAGTGAGTAGGACATACCATAGAAAGAACAAGATTAAGACAGATTTCTTGACACAAGAAACACCACACCAAACACTAAAACACCATTTCCACAAAGCTCTTGTCCAATCCACCATCAGATACCATATCAATGTGTTCTTGATCACAATAAGTAGCTTTTACACAATACAACAAAATATTAAATCACACAAGCTTTAGATTCTAAACCTTAGATATAGTAATTCAAGAAGAGATAATCAAAAATGAAAAGAATCAGCAACAGAGAATCATTCTTATATAATGACTAGATGAAGTTTTAGAACATCATGTTGCCGCTAACAAAAGTGAAAACAGAGGTTTCTCTTTGAGGATTAACACATGAGTAAAACCCAAAAGCAAAACAAGTCAAAATCCTCTTGAAGTGGATTGATCCCGCCTTAAGAACTCTCTACATTCCACTGAATGCTTTCTTGCCTATAGCAGAGCTTCCAGCTGGAATGACCTTTAAGACATTGAACCTCACCGTCTTTGACAGCGGTCTGAAAACGTTTTAAGACGATGATATCTAATTAGCACATGAATTTCCATCTGGTAGATTAAATGATACACAAAGATTCTAACGAGTTCAGGATAAGATGTTAATGTCCTCACCTGCATTGCCCGATGATCACGTGATCTCCTTCTTTGACACGGAAACACGGTGAGACATGAGCAGGAATGTTCGAATGCCTTTTCTCATACCTAAACATTAAAGACTAAACATTAGATGGATATTCTCAAACATGGTGGAGTAATACAAAAAGGGAAAATACAAAGCAAAGATCTTTTTATATTCACCTTTGATACTTCTTAACAAAATGAAGATAGTTCCTCCGGACAATGATTGTCCTCTGCATTTTGGCACTGTGACAAGTGCCCGCCAAGATACGGCCCCTAATAGAAACCGTGCCAGTAAAGGGACATTTCTTGTCTATGTATGCACCTGCAAAACTCACAAATACGAAACCAAACAACTCAGAAACCAAGAAAATGCATCCATTACTCAAAGCCTAAATAGCATTACATGAAAATCAGGTTACTAGCAGCATCACTTGTTTCAGTTTCAGAAACAAATAGTCAAAAAGATAACTTTTAATCGAAATCGAAGAATACTCAACAACAAATTCTCTATGCTTCAACACATTATAAAACATCACAAAACGAGATTCAGACATGTAATTAAAGCATTACCTTCAGTAGCTTCTCTGGGAGTCTTGAAACCAGACCAATGTTCTTCC